CAGCCGCTTTGGATTTAAACAGCACCGCACATATCGATAAAAAATTATACATCGGGGTCTTGGCACAGGGGTGTGCGTTGTTTCTCAGAACCAAAATATTTACTGCATTTCCGCACAGGTATCGCAAACTTAGCACATATCGGGGTCTTCGCACACCTGTGCGAAAAAAGTCTGAAGTTCGAAACATTAAAAAAAGCGACCGCACAGTGTGCCAAGACCCCGATGATTACGGTACACTCCGAGCGAGTACATGTAAGAGTCGACGCGAGCGCCCTTCCTTACATAACCCGGGGGCGCTTGGAAGTTATCCACAGCAGCAGCGATGTCGGCATCCACCTCCACTACCTCCCCGTTCTTGTGGTAGACGAGTTTCGCGCCGAGTACCAGCACGCCCTCAGTGCTGCTGTTCGAGCCTTGCTGCTGGTTGCTCTCGGGAGTGCCTTCGTTTGGCTCGCCCTCGCCACCTTCACCCACGACCGTATCAACCCCCTTGCCCGTGTTTGAGTTTGGTGGGGTTGAGGAGCTGCCGAGGTCCGCAGCAGCGTTCATGTTACCCTCTCGACCTCACACAGGACAGTTCACAGAAGTCAGGTTACAGATCTCGGTGTCTGCGTTCTGTCTATTGCTAGCTGTGTGTGTTTTTTTTATCATTAGCATCGACCGCGCTAACCGGCTGACCAATGAAAAGACGTCAGTCTCAGTGCGGTTGTGTGTGTGGCGGCACAGGTGCGCGCGTCTTCCCGCTTGGGTCGCGAACATGACGTCACACGGGGTATTTCACAGATGTTTAACCCGTACCGCGGGTAAGTTTCGCCGTTCACACAGAAGTCGTGTTTCTGTAGGGTACGAAGGGTGTCACAGAACTTCTGTGAAGTCTCTGAAGGGTACGAGGGGTGTCACAGAAGTTCTGTGAAATCTCTGTAGGGTACGAGGGGTGTCACAGAACTTCTGTGAAATCTCTTAGGGTACGAGGGGCGTCGTAGAACGTCTGTAAAATCTCTGTAGGGCAATTACAGACGGAATTACCGCCGGTGCGTGTCTGTGAGTACCCTACGGTTCCGACCTGGAGTTTTCAATGATACTGTTAGGCCAATATTCGATTAGCTCAGGTATTGTCCAGGGTGTAAGGGCCACACCCTCGACCCACACTCCATGGGCCACCATTCCTCGTGCCCTACACGTTTAGTTGTCGACAAGACGAATGGTCAGGGCAATCAATGGGGGAAATGGTACAGCCCCGCACATGGCCACCACTACTCTAAATGCAATATAGTATGCATCCCATAGTAAATCCTTTATAATATTGGCCCTATACTAAAATCAGTACACTGGTGGAGCGAGAGTGGGAACGTACCGGGTCATACCCACAGATACATACTATATACCAGATACAATACATTGATGTACTGTATATCGGGAGAGCAGTGCACAACAACTTGTTGTTTGTATCGGTATTCATTGCAAAGAGCAACACATCATCGATACATATCGTGAGAACCGAATGCTTTTCCGTCGATGTGTTGCATCATATTGACCCGTGCAGCACTTTCCAACATGTGGAGCAATACCGATTGGGCGTTGCAAAATGTTTGGAAAAAAAATGCTACCGTATATTGAGTCAGGGGTAGATTCACGAACTGCCAATCGATGCATATCCCCAGAACGTTACCCTCGCAAGAACACATATCAATTGAGTATTACAGCCACCAGTACGTGACGTATTACGATAGGAACGTATCGATATGCATTGACTGTATTGTAATTTGTCCAGGGTGTGTTGTCTTCACATTAAAAAAACGTTCCGATCTCTCTCTGCCCAGTACCTTCGTATGTTCGTACTGATCCAGCACTCGACGTGGTCGATTCCCGTGGTAACATGTTAACTTACCCTAAAACGGTAGACTAAAAAAAGCTGGCGCCGAGGGGTCCGCAAGTCAATAGAAAGCAACGACAGATTTTCTGGAGTCCTCCACTCCCTCTGCGCGATATGCGAGGTAACAACTGAGACTAGGAGTCACCATCACGGGCCGGAGTTAAAGAGGTACACCCCCTTGGTTTAATCTTTGTACTTCACAACGCAAGCAGAGCCAAGGCCATCTGGCACAGAAAACTAGAGAAACAAAGAAATCAGAGAAAAAGAGAAAAAAGAAAAAGAACCAGTAAGGAAACAGAGAATAAAATGAAAAAGATCGAGGACAAAAAGGGACCAGGCCGAAAATAACAAGAAATAAGAGACAGGAAAAGGCACACGATGGAGAGACCTCTAACGAACAAGCAAAAACCCAAACATGGCCACCAACCAGCAATGCATTGTAATGGTACGTCATCACTAGTGGGGGGTTGGTGCAATGATGCAGCGTTGGGAGGGGGGAATTGACTACAAGAAATTCAATCCGGCACGTATCGCGCCACTCGGTCCGTCTATTCTCGTTTGCTTTCTTTCCTCGCCGTCTCGTCCGTCTCTTGCCCCCCTCCCGCCCCATTGGTTGTTGGCTTGTGGTTTCGTTTGAGCACCCGTTGTCGGCTGGCCTCTTCTTCCTTCTCGTGCCAGGAGGTCATGAACCTCTCAGCTCCCTGCAGCACCGCCTCATGCCAGGGTACTCCCCCCNTCGCCTTGCCAATGCTCCCGCGAACAGCAGGCGCCGTTGTCGGATGGTGGCTTCAACGCTCTGACATTGGACCCTCGTCAGCGTCTGGGCGTAAGAGAGCTGCCGGTAGGTGTCTTTCTTGCGCTTGTACCCGATAACTCGAAGAAGTAGTCCGTGGTGTATCGACCGCAGCGTCTGATAGTGGCCGCTAAGTGGTGACAATGTCATCCAACCGTACAGCAGTGCCTCCATCGCCTCCGCCTGAGGCAGGCGGATCTTGAGTCGGANTAGATCCGTGGTCGGCCCCGAATGCCTCAGGTCGTCGAGCACACACTTCGGCCAATTCTGTTCCTGTCCTCCCCTACGTCGCTTCTCCCCCCCCCGCCAGTTCGCCGAGCATCAGTCGTTTCGGGAGTCGCCCGTCCGGTCGCCTTGCCAATGCTCCCGCGAACAGCAGGCGCCGTTGTCGGATGGTGGCTTCAACGCTCTGACATTGGACCCTCGTCAGCGTCTGGGCGTAAGAGAGCTGCCGGTAGGTGTCTTTCTTGCGCTTGTACCCGATAACTCGAAGAAGTAGTCCGTGGTGTATCGACCGCAGCGTCTGATAGTGGCCGCTAAGTGGTGACAATGTCATCCAACCGTACAGCAGTGCCTCCATCGCCTCCGCCTGAGGCAGGCGGATCTTGAGTCGGAGTGGCGCTTTCGGTCTGTCGAAGAGCTCCCGGCCACATCGCCTGAGGCACGCCCACGCTCCTCTGCTCCTGGAGTTGATCTCCCGGGTGAGGTGGCCATCTACGTTGACGAGGCCACCGAGGTACCGGAACTCGGTCGTCTGGGCGTATTTCTGCCCCGCGGCTTCGATGGTCAGCGGTGGAGGCGGGGGGGGCTGTGATGTTGTAGTCGGCTTGTCCTTCGCATGCATCAGGAGCGTCTCCGTCTTCCTCTCCGACACCATTAGCCCGAACTCCCGCAACACCCCAACGATGATGGTCATCATTCTACGGCGTCGGCATCATCGGCACACAGCATCCCCCATACTGCCCTCCATACTCGGTCAAGGGGTGTCTCCTCCCCCCC